GGGAGGCAGAGGCAGGCGGATCTCTGTGAATTTGAGGCCAGCCTGGCCTACAGAGCTAGTTCTAGGATAGCCAATGTGACACAAAGAAACCCCATCTTAAAAAACAAAAATAAAAATAAATCCAAAATAAACAACACATCCCCACAGTTTCTAAGAAAGAGTAATTCTGAGAATTTCCATTGCAAACACAATGTCAAAACACTTTCCTCTCAGCTCTGGGGGGTTTTGAGGTGGTAGAGAACTTGTTTCTATTCTAGAGAACCCAGACTTGGAAGCCTTCACAGCAGTGTTCCCCACCACGTCCCACCTTCTGTTCTCACACAGGCCCAGGATTAAAGGAGACTTTCTGTGACACCAGGAAGAACTTAGTTTGCACAAACACTCTCTGGACAGAAGAGTCCTGCCTTTGTAGCAAGTTTTGGTGGGCTTAGGCTTCCCGAGCACTGTGTTGGGACTTTGAGGTCAAATAAACAAGGACAACTTGACCTTCATAGCCTGGGTCACAACGGTGAGCTGTACTCCAGAGCACACAGGGATGCTGGTTGGCATGGTAAGGCAACAGAGTATCTGGTTGCTATTACTGAGCCCACCCAGCAGGTCCCTGGAGATGTTCCCTAGGAAGGCTGAGTAAGATGCCCCAGGGCTCTTCTCTGGCATCCAGAAGTCTCTAGTAGACAAAGCCCCTGTCGCAGTCTCTGTCTCTATTCACAAACCGCTCATGCTCGATCACATACTTACTATAAATAGCAATTTAACAATAACCACCTGCATCCCCTTACAAGGTGCCCCTGGGGGCTTCTACCTTCTGGTCTCCTGCCAAATGTTAAGTCTGGCCTACCTGGCAGCCCAAGGTTCTAAGCAGCAGCACTGAGCCTGATCCATCTTCAAGTCTGAGGTGTTGAGTTAAAGTGGACACACCCTGAAGTCATCAGCATTGGAAGCAGGCTCTGCTGACCACCCTCTACCTCCATCAGGAGGAGAAAGAACGTATGCCTCCCATATCTCATTGCTTGTCTTGGAGATGCCTCAAGTTCTTCTGCTCAATGCAGCCATTCTCGTCCCTATCCTGCCACGGCTGCAGAAGTTCCAAGTCTTCCACGCCCTTCCTTCCTTCCTTCAAGCTTCCCATTGGTGCCCAAGCTCTCCCTTAGGCATTCTCTGTAACCAAGAGCTGACAATGATCATCATGCTGTGCCTGCCTCCAGCCAAGACCTCTTGGCCTAGCCCTGCCAAGGCCCTCATGTGCTCAGAACCCAGCCATGATGCATATCAAGGAAGATGAAATCAGTGACACACACGGGCACATCCACCTCACTGGTACCCACAGAGGAAGGCCTGGTAGCTAAGGGCATCTGCCCAGAACCTGTGTGTGCATGAATCTGCTGAAGAGGAGGTTTGGGTTAGTGGAGGCTTCAGAGCATCCCTTTCTACAGCTCAGCACAGCTTTAGTGACCCATGTCTAAATGGCAGGCAGGGGGGAAGAAAGCTCTCACATGTGTGCTCCCCCCCACACACCTCTTTCATTTCCACCTACTGACTACTCACCCCGTTTTTTCTTCTGTCTACCCTCTCACCACCCACCCACAGGCCTGCCTGCCAGCCAGGTTCCAGGATGAGGAGCAGCTATTAATTATTAAAGCAAACAAAAGCATTTCCTAGCAGGGAGGCTAGCCTACGGCTGCTTACAGGAAAGACATCCCCAGCTGCCTATCTTCTCCAAGGCCTTGCTCCTATGCAGTGACTGCCTGGTAGAGCGGGCAGTCCTGCGTCTCCCAGGACTACAGCAGGAGTAGGGCTGCCCTGGCCCCTCTCCCACGCCTAGGAAACACACCAGAAGGAGAAAAGTGCTACCCCTGTGCTAAGTCCACAGGCAAGAAGACTTGTCTGAAGAGGAGGGTGGGGAATGGGCTGGAGGAATTCCTATTGGTCCAGGTCAGGGGCAATCACAGCAATGGCTAGGGGTCTTTGAGGAGATATCCCTGTTAGGGAGTCCCCCTCCCCGGGAAAGGAAGCCTTCTCTACCAGCCTCCCCACCCCCTTCCTGTGAGCTGGGTATCCCACTCTTCTTCTTTCCCTACTTTCTATACTCAAAATCATCTTCATGTTAGCAGAGCCCCTCTCACTGATCTTGACAAGCCTTCCAGACCTCTTCCTCCTCATCTACTGTCTTCAAAGTCTAAGTTGCAAAACTGGAGAGGGTAGCTGAAGGAAGATATAGAGCAGTTGCTGGAACATACTGAGGTGAAGAGAGGCACCTGATAGGGAAGTCTTTTGGAGCCAAGTAGGTGGACTACTTAAGCCTGTGGGTGCTGTTGAAAGAAGGGCGAATGGGCTGCCATCTTTGTCCTACAGGAAAACCTCAACTGGCAGGGCTAGAAATACAGGGACAGGCAGAGGACAGCAAAGCGTGGCCTCCAGTAAGAATCATTAGGTAACATTAGGAACTGCTCTCCTGGGCAAGGAGGCAGAGCATAAACAGAGCCAGGGGCTGAGGTGGAGTCTGGTCCCCAAGGCTCACTGAGGCTCTATTCAGTGGGTGTGTGAGTCTAAGGGCTTGAGGACTGTTTGAAGAGAAAGCAGGTCAGGAAGCCTTGCTGACTCTCTAACATCACAGGCCATTATCATTACAGAGGCTAGGAAAGAAAGCTGGGTAGACTGTGATGAGCCCTAATGCCAACTATCTGGGAAATGGGGATGTGCCAGTGACAAGCAGCTTTAGCACTAAAATAGTCTGGGCGAGATGGGAGTACACAGGACACAGAGGAGTGCTGCGACGGAGGAGATCGCTGTTTTTCTTTAATTGGGCAAAGGCACAATCAGAGCAAAGTGCTTTGAAACCTGGTGTATTGGTTTATACTGTAATTCCAGCACTCGGGAGGCTAAGGCAGAGTTGGAGGATGGCCTGGGCTACACAGTGAGTGCCTTGGAAATGTGGGTTTGGTGTGTAGAGCAGGGAAGACAGTCTGGGGGAAGTGGTGAGTCAGAGTGCAGGAGCAGGAGTCTTGCATTATCCTCCCAGCCAGGGAGGAATGGGGTCTAGGGCCCAGAAGTTTAATTGTTAAAAAGTGGCATCTGAGGACACTGGGACTGAGACTAGAAATCCATACACTTTGAAAATCAGGTGGTTGTGGATGAAGGTGAGGAAGGCACTGATCATCCACACCGAGCAACCTTGCAGGAGAATGGAGCCCGGCAGGGGAGGGAGACGATGGAAGATGGAGGAAGTTTCTTGTCATGTTTTGGGATGGGAAGACCTGAGCAGAGGTCTGACTGGCGGAGGGAGAAGATATACACGGGAGAAATGACAAACATTGTGGAGAGAAATGAGAACCAAGAATTCTTCCCCTCTTGAGGTGGGAAGAGAATCACCCACATTTGAAAACTCTTACTCTATGTCCTAGAGTGGAGCTTTCCAGACTTGGGGAGAAGCAAGCTCAGGCCTGAAGAACATTCTGTTCAAACTTCAAAAGGTTTTGGGCCTTGGGGACTCAGAGTAGACACCACCAAGAACCTTCTCTGTGTAGATAGCACTGTGTGTGTGTGGGGGGGGGTTGTTGAAAGTCACATCCCCAGGTTCCTTGTCCCTTCGCCCATCTTCAGGGTATCATCTCTATTACCCCTGCCTTCCTCTGATCTAACCTGCTGGCCCTGGGTGGGCAGAAAACAAAGTCAGAAAGAAAGAGGAATTCCACTCAAACATACTCGACGATATAACTTCTCACAACCACCTCAACTTAAAAAAAAAAAAAAAAAGCCAAACCCAACAGAAAAGGAGGCACACAGAGTTATAAGCATAGCACAGGACAACGTTAAACGGGAAAATGGGACGTCAACAGAGTATCACGCTGACAGCAGTTGTGTTAAACAACTGTGATTTGTGTTTCTATAATCTCTAAACTTACTGGATTTGGCTCATCTACAATATCCTTTCCTGTCCTGGAGAGATCACTCAAGAGAAAGCCCAGTGCTCTCCCTGAAGGCTATGGAGACAGGTGTGCAAAAACACTGCATCCCTTTGTCCACAAAACACTCCGTGTCTACTATTGGGTGAGGTTGGAGAGCACTACATACAAGTGATACCTAAACAAGTTTGGATAAGTGAATGGGAGCGGTGTGCCAGCGCCGGTTTGCTTTAACAACCTCTAACCGATGTCCTTCAGAGGACCTGTAGCAGCTTATTTAACCTTCCAGGAGACCCAGTGCCTACCCTACCCTGGCTGTCTGCAGAGACAGTCCCTACCCAGTGCTAGGCACTATGAGATCCCGATCAAATGTATAGCTTCCAGTCCATTTTGTATGATTGGAGGGAGTGTTACAGAGACCAAGATCCAATGGCTGCAGTGACTGGATTAACCATCTTTCAAAGTTCCCATTCAAATCTGGAGTCCGTTCCTTCCCCAGATCTCCTGCCTAAAACCCTATCCCTCTCCCTGAAAAGTAACCAGAGTGGATTCTGCTAATTCCCAAGAGCTTCCTGACTCCCTCAGGAGCTACCCAAAACCACTCCACAGAGGAGTCCGGGCCCCATTCTCAACTCCAATCAATTCTGCAAGGCCAACTGCCCACTGGTTTAGCCACACTTCAGCCCCACCCACATCTCTGGCCCTGCACACCACCATGCCACAACACTGAGGAGCATAGAAAAGAAAAACAGGAGGCAGAGTTTCTTGCCTTTCTTGTCGGGTAGCCGCGGAACTGAACAAGCAGAACAGTAGAGACTGCCCAGGAAGAAGGGGCTGGACATCTCTAGACGGCTAATAACTGTGTGTCAAGGCTCAAGGTGTGCAGGCGGATGCAACACCTCCTCCAGAGCCCTGGACACGAGTGAGTAACCTCGTCCCATATTCTCCGGAAGAAGTCAGACTCAGGGTGAACAGGAGACTTCGTCGGGACGGTCGTGTTAGGACTCCCTCTATGCCATGCTCCAGTAGCTAAGGCATGCTGGACGAAGGCGACACGAAGCAGTCCAACCAGAGTGCTAGGTCGGGTGGGGCTCTTACCTCTGCGCCGCGGTGCTGGAGTCCAGGATGCCAGCGCTCTGCATCCAGGAGCGCACGGAGCCCAGGCTGGAGGGCAGTAGCGGCTCCTCTTTCAGGTGGAGCCCACCGCGGGGCAGAGCGTCCTGTGCGGGGAACATAAGGACCC